ATGGTGTCTTGAAGATCCCCTAGGTATATCGCTTCTCTCCCTCTTTCTTTTGAGCTTTATCTTCTTCATCCTTGCTCCACTCAATTATTCTAACTCCATTTCTTCTTCGATTCTTCATGCATGTACCTGAGTACATATGACGCGTGTTGTGGAGATTGTTGTTGAAGCCCAGTAATTCATTCGTTTAGGGTTTAGGGTTTTTTTTTTTTTTTTTTTTTTTGCAATCCACTAGGCATAGTGCCTAGGGTTGATTTTCATATATATATAAAAGATGTTACAACAAAAGCTGGAGGGGGGCATGGACCTTACCTCCGCTAGAAAAGAGATGGTGTTTTTGGTTTGCCACGCACGACAACCAAATGTCACCTGAGATCTATGACAAATGAGACCTATATTGGTGTACCAATTGTCTATCCATAAGTGATAGACAATTGGAGGTACAGAATACAAAGGAAATGAGCCTAGAACTAATGTACATAGATGGACTAGGGGGGATCCTAGGTCTACTATACATTGCATACCAAGGGCTAGCATTACTAGCAAAGGTGGCTGGGAGGTATATCTCCTTTTATAACAAAAAATACAGATGTGAAAGGAACACGAAAGTCCTCTCTTAAGTTTTAAGTCAACAACTGATGAAGAAGCAATCTTCCTTGCTGCTTTGTAATTGTCATTAAGAAAAGCAGAAAGGAAGAGGCTTGTGAACAAGACTGCTTTGGAATGTTTGTGTGTGCAGCTCCTGACAGAAAAGAGTGAGCAGCCAGCTATTCTTGAAGCTGCATTTGTCCCACTGGTGCTGAACTGCTGTAGTAAGATCTGCTTCTTATTCTGCAACTGCATCTGCACCTGGCATAGTTCTTGGCAGCTGTGCTTTGGCAGTTGGAATTGGCAGTGGTGCTGACAGTAGAGGGTTGTCCACTTGTGTTTGGTAACCTGGCTGCTGAGGGAGAATTTTTGGTGTACTTGGTGTACCTTCAGTAGAATGAACATCTGTGATGTTAATACCACTATCTGAAGGCATACCAAGTGACCAATCCATCTCCTTGAACCTGCAAAATTAGCAAAGAGGTTAGAGTAAAGGGGGCTCAATCTCCAGGTTCTTGTGTTGACTGGAGATGAGACTGGGGAGAGGGGAGCATTGATGATCCCTGGTCCATAACCTGATTGCAGGTTCTTGTGTAGACTGCATTCAGGTATATGGAGGCTCCTGATGTATCCATGTTTCTGGGTGAAGAGAACCTGAAAAGAGACAGGTGGATTGAGGTTCAGATTGCATGATGGAGAGATTGAAATCTCTGCATCTGATGGAATTAAACCAGGCTCCATATGTGAGGTTCTTGCTGTGTAGGTGTGGTGAAAATTGTTCAACTGGTTTGATTTTGGTAAGGTGAACCAGACCAGTTGTTTGAGGAGAAAGTGGTGAGGAGCCTCTATTAGGCAGGATGGGAATTCAGTACAGAAATGAACATTTCTGTTCATATTTTTGAGGCTATGGTTGCTGAGTTTCAAGATTTGGTAAAGGTTATAGTTTATGAAGATTTGGATGTGGATGCTATGAGTGTTGGATGTTGGGATAAAGCCCAAGGGTCTGTAACTCTCATAGTTACTGAGAACCTGCAAAAGAACACACAATGTTAGTAAGACTGCCATGATAGCTGTTTGGATTGTTGGGTTTTGGGTTGGATTTAAGGGGAGGTTATCAGCCAAAACCATTTGAGGAGGAGGTGGTGGCATAATGGTCATGTCTGATCTTCCTGGTCAGCTTATATTTAAAAGAAGGAATATTTTGTTTATCCAAGAGGACTTGACCCTTAATGTGATTGGGAAGATCAGACAGATTGAAGAAATGGGTGATGGTTGGGAGGGTGTGGCTGATTTTAGAAAGGGAATCAGCAGGGGTGTTGGCCTCCCTATATGTATGGTGGTATGTGATATGCTCACATTGGTGGCCCAGTTGTTGCAGTTTTTGTACAGAATTTACTATGGACCAGGGAGGAGGGGTGCCATTGGTTAACCAATGAATGAGGAGAGCAGAGTCAGTTTCCAGGTAGATTTTGGTAAAACCATTATCAATACACCATCTGATGCCTATCAGGGCAGCTTCAGTTTCAGCTAAGTTGTTGGAACCTTCCCCCAAAGGAGCTGCAATTGCATGAATGAAGTCCCCTTGATGGTCTCTGATTATAACACCTGCTCCAATCTTGCCAGGATTAAGCAGGGCACTACCATCAGAGTTTACTTTTACATAGTTTGGGGGAGGTTTTTGCCAAGTGACTAGTGTAGTTGTGATTTGGAATTGGAGGGTTTCAGAGAAGAGGTACAGTAAAGACCAGTCAGTAGGCCAGGGGAGAGTGGGGTACTTTGCATGGAGCATTAGGTTGATATCAGAATTGATAGAGTAGATGACCCTAGCCATTGAGGATTGCTTGGTGCCATATTTAGCTGCACATCTGTTCTTCCATAAGTTCCAGCAAATGATGATGGGTAAAGTATCTATGAGCAAACTGTGAACTTCATTTTTGGTTTTTAAAGACCACCATTTCAAGAGAAGGGTGTTCAAAGGCATTTCAGAGAAAGGGAAGCCAACTGTAGCAGTGAAGTTTTTCCAGATAGCTTTGGCAAAGTGGCCAGTGTTGAATATGTGACTGATAGTTTCAGCTTGGTGCTTTCTACAGCAAACACATCTATTCACAGAAGGAGGACCAAACATTGCTACTCTGTCATCAGTGGGGAGCTTATTCCTTAAGGCTCTCCACAAGCAGAAGGACCATTTGAATGGAATTTGTTGGTGCCAGATTTTCTTGTTCAAAAAAAGGAGAGGTCCCTTGTTCCTTATCACTTTCCATGCAGAGGCAGATGTAAATTGACCTGTAGAAGTAGGTTTCCATATGGGTCTGTCAGGTGTTTGAGGAGCATAGAATATGGGTGTTTGGAGAATGGTTTCAATCACATGTGCAGGGACTAGGTTGGATAGCTTTTGAGTATTCCATACCCCTGCATCCCAAAATTGAGAGACCTGGACATTGCCTGGTCTACCTCCTGATGTTCTGAGAGGTGCTAGATGGCCTGTACCCAACCAATTATCCCACCAGAAGGATGAATTACCAGATATAAGGTGCCATTGGATATGTTGCTCAACATCTTTCTTGTTAGACATCATTTTCTTCCAGGCTTGAGATTGGCCAGAGTCCCATTTTTTGGAGACAGGATGAGATCTCTGACAGTACTTAGCTTTGAGAAACTTGCTCCATAGAGAGTCCTTGGTTCTAAACCACCACCATTGCTTGAACTCTAAGGACCTACACACATCTTCTATATTTCTGAGGCCTATTCCCCCTTCCTCTTGAGGCTTGGCCAATTTTTGCCATGAAGCCCAATGATACTTATATCTGTTGTGATCCATGCCCCAGAAGAAGTTAGCTGCTAGCTTTTCAATTTGTTTCAACACTGTTTTTGGAGGGGAGACTGCAGAGAGCAAATGGATGGGTAGAGATTGGAGAACATGCTTGATGAGTGTGGCCCTACCCCCATGAGAGAGAATCTTACCATGCCATCCTCTTATTTTACTGACCACTTTAGAAATGATGGAGTTAAAGAAAATGATTCTTTTCCTTCCTGTGTATAGGGGGCAGCCAAGGTAGGTAATTGGAGAATTTTTCCTGGAAAAGCCTGTGATTTGGGTGACTCTCCTGCTGGTAGACTGGAAAGCAGAGGGGGAGACCATGAAATGACTTTTATTCTTGTTGATCAGTTGGCCAGAGGTTTGTTCATAGGCTTGGAGAATGCCCATGATTTTGTGAAGGGAGTATCTACTTCCAGAAGTGAAGATAATGATATCATCAGCAAAACTGAGGTGGGTTATTTGGGGTCCTCTTCTCTCCATGTAGAAACCATTGAAAAATTGATCATGAGTCATGTTGTTGAGCATTTTGGAGAGTAGTTCAGCACCTATGATGAATAGAGCAGGTGCAAGAGGATCTCCTTGTTTTAAGCCTCTTGTGGAGTGGAAAAAACCACATCTTGTGCCATTAACAATAACTGAATACCAGTTATTAGAGAGGGTTCTCCACACCATGTCTATGATCCTTTCATTGAAGCCTAATCTTCTCATGATGATACATGTGAATGCCCATGAAACTCTATCATAAGCTTTAGCCATATCCAATTTGATGACCACATTACCTCCCACATTGGGTTTTTTGATGCCTTGCACTATTTCCTGAGCTAACATGATATTTTCAGAGATGTTTCTACCCTTCACAAAACCAGTTTGATTTGGTGAGATAATTCTGGGAAGGATAGGGGCAAGTCTGTGGCAAATGAGCTTGGAGATGATTTTATTGATGAAATTGCTTAGGCTAATTGGTCTGAAATCAGAAAGGGAACTGGGAAATTCTGTCTTTGGGAGAAGAACCAGGCATGCTTGTGTCATATGCTTGGGCATAGAATATCCACAGAAGAAGGCATTCACTACATTGAAAATGTCCAGCTTGATTATTTCCCAGCAGTGTTGATAGAATTTTCCATTTAATCCATCAGGACCAGCAGCACTGGTAGGATTCATGGAGAATATTACTGCCTTGATTTCATCAATTGTGGGTTCCTTGCTAAGGGCTGTATTGTCTTCTTCAGTTATCAAATTTGGAATGCAGGAAAGTAGATCTTCTCTGATCATACCTCCTTGGTCAGTGAAAAGTTCTTGAAAATGATCACAGGCAGCTTCACCAATGGCCTCATCACCTTGAATCCATTCATTATTTTCATTCTTGATTTTATGGATGAACAGCTTTCTCCTCCTCCCCCTGATCAAACTGTGGAAGTATTTGGAGTTAGCATCTCCCTCTTTGAACCAATTGAGCTGAGTTTTTTGCCTAAGGACTGCTTCTTCAGTCTTTAAATGCTTAATATATTGGGCATTCAATTCATGAAGGATAGCTCTGTCTTTTTCATTGTTGGAATGAGCCCACCTTTCCTCAGCTTCCCTCACCTTGTTTTCAAATTCTTTAACCCTTTGAAAGATGTCCCCATATTGTTGTCTTGACCACTGACTTAATTCTGAACATAGGGCTTTAATTTTCTGATGAAAAACCCACATTGGATTCCCTTGGAAGGGTCTGGTCCAAACTGATTGAACCAGAGGTAAAAAAGTCTTATTTTCAGTCCAACAGTTCAGGAACTTGAAATACCTCTTTGGATTTTCATTTCTGACATTGATTTCCAGCAAGAGGGGAGAATGATCAGATCCTGCAGATGCCAAATGAGTGATAGTGGTTGCAGGGAAGGAGGTTAACCATTCATCATTAGCCAAGCCTCTGTCTAACCTTTTCCACACTATGGAACCAGGACCTCTACCATTAGACCATGTGTATTTGGGGCCATAGAAACCAAGATCAGTTAAGCCACAATCTTCAATGACACNTCACCCAGGTAATATCGACTCTCTTCCTCTTTATTTTGTGTTCTTTGTTCGTCATTTTTGTTCAAAATTACTCTTCTAACTTCATTTCTGCTCTGTATCTTCTTGAAACTACATGAATCTGTGTGCCTTCTCTGATGGGAGTGATTTTGGACCTTATCAATGGTGTCTTGAAGATCCCCTAGGTAATATCGCTTCTCTCCCTCTTTCTTTTGAGCTTTATCTTCTTCATCCTTGCTCCACTCAATTATTCTAACTCCATTTCTTCTTCGATTCTTCATGCATGTACCTGAGTACATATGACGCGTGTTGTGGAGATGTTGTTGAAGCCCAGAATTCATCTTAGGGTTTAGGGTTTTTTTTTTTTTTTACTTTTTAGCTAATCCACTAGGCATAGTGC